ATTCACAATGATTTCGCCTGTGAATAGTGCTAAATAGTACGTAACACAGATATATGGTGGCATTTATTATCATTACAAGGGAATGCGATCTAGTTGAGCTTGCATTGATCGGTATGACAGTGTATTTATCTTTCTAATCAATCAGTGCGAATATCTCAACATGTTTTGTATATAATCTTTTTTCTTTTTTGCTTGCAATATTTTGCTAAAGAAGTCTAAATTTCGTACATGCACGTCGTTTTGATAGTTCAATGCCCGATTGCTTGTAATAAGCTAGTGCATAATATTTAGATAATTTACATAATAGTCAAATACTTCAGCATATATTAACAACAGTTTGCTCAAATTTAGTAGTCCAATAATAATAATAACTTATGAGAATACACTTTTATATGTTAGTATTTCCATAAACAATAGTGTTGAAATATCATGATGTTCGTGTAAGAATACTACTTCAAAGTAATATTATGGGAATAAGTTTTAGAATCCAAATTATTGTGCCTGTTCAGTAAACATATAGCTTAAACTGTTCAACCTAAAATCCATGTCATTTATTTATACAACAGAATAAAGATGCTCGTGTTACAATGCTATAAGAACCTTGGAGCGACGAGCAATGTTTTTGCTCAAATAATTTGTTTTGTGGTCAAACAAATTTAACGTTAATCTTAAATATCATTTAAACAACCTAAACCGCAGTTATTGTAAATATTGAAGCGGTGGACAATGACAATTAAGTCTCACAGTTTGCAAGAATTTGCCACGCCGGGATCTGTCAGTTTCGAGCGGGTCGGGCATTTCCGCAAAGTCAGAGAATTGACAATTGAAGAACATCAAATGCGGTGATATAGTGGTATGGTTGGAGAGTGGTGCACGTAATATTTATTACGTCATTAGTTGATTGTCGTGGCCGTATATTGTTTATTGCATGTCAAATTGGTTACAAGGAGGCTAGTTCTTAGGTGATTAGACTACATTAACTAATTTTATTTATAAATTTGTCTTTGAAGATTGAACGTGTACAGAACCCACGATTATATCGACAATATGTGATCCTTAAACAAAACATGGATGCTAAGAATCCTGTGGGAACAATTAATGAAAAAATTTTATATCATGGTACCAGTGGCGACAGTATTGTTAAAATTAACCATGGAGGTTTTAACAGAAGTTTTTCTGGTAAAAATGGTGAGTTGTGTTCAAATATAGTAGCTATTCGGGAATGTCAACAATCCTGCTGTGTTTTTGTCACTCGTGTATATCCTGACAAATGTCATTATGATTGCTTTAACATTTTTAGCTCCGCTATCGACTTTGTCGAGCGGAGCTTATCATATGAGTGATTGTCCGTCGTCGTCGTCCATGTCAATGTTTTTCGACTTATTGTTGAAAACTACAAGCCTGAATGCTTTGATACTTGGTGTATATGTACCTTGGGTAGGCCGCTCTTAGATTTGTTCATTTTGTGATGTTATCTTTAATTCTCTAATTTTAGTGAATATTTTTGTAATTGTTGGTAAAAACGATATGTTCGACTTCTTGTTAAAAACCGCAAGACCAATTGCTTTGATATTACATATAT